TGCGTCAGCGTCCCTCGCACGCGCTTTTGTTTTACGTTTTGTTTAGAGATTTTTTCTTTGTCGTTTGTATGGCTGCTTATACCCTGTAAAAGGTGTGTTGACTGGCATATTGGTTGTTTAATCAGTGCAAGTGAGAGATAATTCTCTAGAGTTTAAGGGTTAATTGACTGTAATTGAGCGATAAGCTTATAAAATGTTAATTTTTATTTAGCTGTTATTTAAATTTTAAATTTGGGGTTTCTTTTCTAGATCTAACAAATTATTTAACTTTAATTTCTTTAATTCAGTTTTCATTATATCATTTACCAACTTTATACGATTTTTAAAATATTAAACACTTTTTGTATTGTAATTTGAAAATACAGGGTATTAAGCGTAACGCCTTTTGCATTCTCTTCATGCTGTCTTTGTTTTTCGGTTGTTGTTGTTGTTTTTTGCATTTTTGTCTTGCCAGTATTTCACCCCGCGGTGACATTTTGGTGTGACAGACAAGACGTGTCCTTCGTCCTTAGCATTTTTTGCGCTGGTCTCGCAGTGGCAAGTTTATCGTTTTAATGTTGATACAAGCCGAGGGTCGCTCGCCCGTCCGCGTCACATGGCGTCGCCGGGATAATAGGATGTTAAGTAAATATTTTAAAAACCAACACACCACCTCTCTTGCCCCCTCTCTTGCGCCTAGAAAGTTGCGGCAGAGCGCGAATCCTGGCTGAATTGTCGTGGAGCCCAAAGTTCCAGGCAATGGCCGCTCATTTGCACTGCTTGGACGGTTGATGTGTGTGTGTGTGTGTGTGTGTGTTGGGGGATGGGAAGGGAGGGGTAAGGGGGTTTAGGGCTTGTTGTTGGGTGTTGGGATATTTTTAGGGAATGACTCTCAGCTCTGGCACAATCTAATCCAGTTTTGCCGGCTGCCAAGCACTTTTTGGCATAAATCATTTGCATACAAAATGAGCCTGGCCTGCAAATGAGAGCCCAAGATGAATGCTTCAGCAACAACTACAACTACAACAACAACAAGAACTATAAGCCGCAGTTGCACAACAAGAAGAAGAGCAACAACTCAGGCAATTGGGCAATGAGGTGGCTGGCAAAATCCTTTCAATTTTCGCACACATTCAATTTATTAATTAAAACAATTTTTTCCTGTTTGTGATTTCCATTTCGAATACTAGGAAATGAAGTGGTCGAGGGATGGGTCGGAGGGGTTGGGGGGTAGGTGCTTGCCTGGCAGGCGGATTGGGCAATTAATTCCAAACATTCACAACGCTTTTTCTTTGTTAAGTTGGAGCGCCAGGGCGCAAATTATCCTTGCTATCCTTGCGCGAAATAAAATATCACAAACAGTTACGGCCCCATAAATAATGGGAATTTATGCCTGGCATAAACTGTACCCACCCACCGCCCACAAATGGGCAAAAACGAGGGGGCGTCGCAACTTTTCTGCTGAAATTACCATTCAATCATTTCGTAATTGCCTCAACTACCCAACATCCTACCCCCCCCCCCCCACCACGCCCCCTCTACCACTCGCTGCAGTACAACCGCTTACCTCATTCAACTCATTTCTCGTGCTCATTTACTTTGCCGCTTAATTCCAACAATCTATTTTAATAAGCCTCCATTTTGCGAGTATTTCGCCAGCCAAATTGGATGCCAGGATGCCCAAATGCCCCGTGTCCTTGCTCCTGCTGCTCCTCCGCCTTGGATACACCTGCTTCGGCAACAGCCAATGGCTTTGAGGCTTAAAACTATTGATTTTCTGTTCAATAAGTTTGTTGCGGCTCTCAGATATTTAAACAAACTTTTTGTCTGTCATAAAGTGGAAGGAAAAGTATGAGTCATTCAATCAAACGCGTTCCCAACTCTATAGATAAAGCCTGGAACAGCTTTGTTAGCTAGTTTTCTTCACAAAGTTGCAGGCAATGGTAAAAGGATTATTTAAGTCGATAAATTAAATTTGTATAAAACATAATGGCTTGGCTTAAACATTTTGAAAAGACAGACAGTGCGAGACAAAAAGAGAGAGGAAGAGAAAGGCATAGAGATATATAGAGAGAGAGGGAAAGAGAGAGGGGAGCGTAAAAGAGATACAGATAGATGGAGAGCGAAAGAGAGAACGACAGCAAGTTCTCTTTTATAAGTTAAATAAAGATCAAAACTTTTCGCCTATTTTGATACTATCTCCCGATAACCTACTATCAACGAGGAGAAAAGAAGAGAGAGGGAGAGCGATACAGAAGAGGGACAGTTTGCTCTTTTCTATAAGTTAAATAGAAATCAAATCGTTTCGGCTTTTGCCGACTTTACCCAGCCGCTGCCAATGCCCTAGCATCAACCGAGGCATTCGAGCACATTGCTAACCCACATCTGTTCTGGTAACCTGTTCCAATAGTCCCAGCTATTGCTGTTTGTATTTCAACGCTTTTGTCTAAATGCTCCTTGGGCGTGTTTGGGCAATTTATTGAAAACCCTCAACGGAGCGATGGGGCTGCCGAAAAGGCAATGAAACAGAAGCGAAACACAAATAAATAAGGATAATAACAGCAAAGGAAAAACTGTGATGGCCACTAAAAAGGGATGGGTTACACTTTCCGTTTTTTTTTTTGACTGGGTCCTTGTCCGGGTTAATGGGTGGCTGGCCGGTGTCTTCTTTCGGGGCGAGTGCCACAAAGAGGCAATTAAAAAATATTTAAACTGCCAAACGGCTGCGGCTCCTGGGCAGCCGCTGAACGGACGGACGAAGGGTCGGGCGGACGGATGGACGGATGGATGGATTTGAAGACAAAAGTTGGCGTCCAGCTGATAGGATGCTGCTTGGCTGGCTTTTCAGGGGGAGGGTGCATGGGGTTGTGGGTCAAGTAAATTTATGCATAATTTTGCTTTGTTTCTGCCAAAACCCCCCACACGAATCAGTTGAGTTGTGTGATTGTGTACGTGAGCATAACGGTAAAATGGCCCACGTCCAGGGTCCACACCCACACCAAGCAACCCCCTTACCCACAAATACCCACAAACGGCAGACCCGGTGGTGGCTTTCGCCCAGCCTGTCAGAATTGATTGATTGAATTGCCACTTTATGAAATTTGTGAGTCTTCTGAGATGTGCGTGAAATTCGTGCGCTCTCTCGCTGCTGGGGGGAAGCGCTTGGGGACGGGGGCGATTCGGCTGCTGCCGCAGCGGGTGGGTGGTTGGGTGGGTTGGGTGGTTGCTTGGTTGCTTGGTTTCGCTGCCACGCCGAGGGTTGCTGCTGATTTGTGTGCGTTTTGGCTACCATTTGCAGCATAAAATACATAAAATTGTGTGCAGCGCTGAGGCGGCCATTAAACTTGATAGATTTATGACAGGCAGCCGCAGCAGCCGCAGCTCCAACAACAACAACAACAGCAACAATCCGACGCAGCGCTGACTCTCGAGCCGTCACATAAAGATAAAGCTGATTAAAATTGCAAAATTGCTCAAATGAGATTTGGGCGAAAAAAAAATCGTATATGTCCTCCCATGTGCAAATACAAATACAAGTCCCATTCTCGTTCAATTTTATCGTTTGTTATTATGGTAAAAATAAGCACCAAGATATTAATATCACAACTTTCAATAATATCAAATATTTTAGATACAAATCTGTATTATACGCAAATCAATTTAATACTAATATGTTGGGAACATAAGAAAACACGATATTTGTGAAATTAGCTAGAGATGTATCTTGTAAAAGAATACTCCAATTTCAATGTATTATATCTAAATTCGACTGAAAGCTGTTCTTATAAAAAGGAAGAGTTTTAAACTCATAAATTATTTTCAATCATAATTCAGGAACAGAAACTTTTAACAACATTTGTGAGAGAGAAAAGCCTGCAAAAATGCGATATTTATAACAATTCATATAAATATCAAGTCTTTATGCATGCCTATATATGTATTTAAGCACACATACACACATTCCCAAACATGAGCATAACCCTTTTACACACACTCTGTTGCAGAGCATAAAAAACACTCATATAAAATCAAAAGAGAATAGCAAAGAGCAAGCAAAAACCTGGTTTCGTTTGAGTTTTTAGCGATGGTTGCTGCTATTCGAATTTCGAACTGCCATTGCTCTCCACTGTCCACACGAGATGTGTTTGTGTTTGTATTTGTGTGCGTGCCCGTGTGTGTGTGTGTGCTCGTGTGGACCAGTGAGCGTGGCCAAGTTGACAGGTGATTGATTGACAGGCGGATGAATGGATGTTGCGCACGTTCGCGCGAGCGAGATAGTTGATGAGGGTCGCATGCTGGAAGAGTCGAACGTGTCTAAACACAAATTCTGCTCCGCCCCTGCGAAGGGGGAAACAATAAAGCAAAAACGAAAATCAACAAAACGGGTTTTCCTGGCTGCTGGCTGAAGCGGCAAGTCAAGTTGAATTCTGTATATTAGCCTATCGGTACATTAAAAGGTTAATTTTTCCAATTGTTAATTAATTGTTCTTATTGAACTTATCAAATTCACTCAATGGGAAAATTATGTTGCATGCATATAGAAAATATTACAATTCCTATGTTATCTTATCTATTTGTATATTAATTTATGTGCAAAATATGTCGAATATCCCATTTTAATATTATTTTTAAATTTTTTTTAACTGTAAATAAATGTGTTTCAAATTGCACTCTATGCTGTTTTAAGCGCAATGCTCAAAATTCGAGCTCGAATAAATTTACTCACGGAAACAAACTCAAACAGTAATGAGAGAGCCGCAACTCTCTGAGTGCAAAGCGCTCTCGCCACTCACATTTCGAAATTTGAGCGAAACATATAAATCAGCTGTTTTTTTGAGTGGCATTTTTTCGGAGACGCCACAATTGCAACAAGCATTTGTAATTTATGTAATTCATAAGCAATATTAACCAGTGCATTACATGTTAGAGTTACCCCAAGTAGTTATGTCAAATATAAATTGTATTAAACTCAAAGTTTGATAAGTTCTTAGCTGCATTTTGATAATATGACTGCCACTTACCGCAACGCGCTAGGCCGTCAAGTAATATGTAATATTTAAAGCCAGGCACCAATTCAACCGATTCTACATTAACTTCAGTAATCACTTGCACATATATGAGACACCAAGCTATTTAATAAATCCCGGCATTTGCTTTTATTTATTATATTTCTAATTTCACTTCACTTTACTCGTGCACAGCGCACTTTTCGCCAACGCGCGTCATTTGGCACTCAACAGCTGACGGCCGCTGCAAAGTTCGAATTTCGAGAAGCCGCCACCGAGAGAGAGCGCGTGAGTACGGCGAGAGCGCAGCGTTGTCGAAATCGAATGCGTTCAGCGATTGAGAGCATTTGAGTTGTTTTAATTCGAAAACGAATTCCGGCTGCGTATGCTGAGCGCAACAGATTTGAGTACGAGTTCTTGTTGGAAACGAACTCAGTTGAAGCATAACTTGACTTACGATAATAATATGTGTTGTTTATTGGAAATAATAATATGATAAATACTGTTAGTTGCAATATCAAGAAAAAATTATATTCACAAAATCACTCAAAAAATCAGTTTAAAACCTTTTAATTATAAATTATGTAGTATATACATTATATATATTTTTATTTAATTTACTAAACCAACACCTGAACATATTTTAATATTATTATAAGTTAACTAAAATCTCAACAATTATTTTAATGTTATGTTAATTGTTTAGCATCGAAAGAAATTTAGTTAGTACCTTAATTGAAAAAAAATTATAGAAAGGGAGACCGCTATAAGTTATTTAAGAGTGAGAGAATCAGCACAATGCTAATTAAACAATTCAAATCAAATCATGTAAGCTGTAAGTCTTACTGAAACTCCTAAAAATCGCATAGAAGGGCGATATTAAAAAGAAAGTGCTTTGCAATTAATAAAAGTTAACTTTGCCTACGTTTGGCATACATCATCAAATATTAGAATTATACAAAGCTTTTATTTTGTTAACTTGAAACCAAAATGGTTTTGAGACCAGAGCTCTGTTGACTTTCGTCAGATATTTTTATGTCAACAATGTTATATTCTTATCTTTTAACTTTTAAGTTAACTTTTCGTGTAAAATTTAGGATATGGGAAATCAAATGTGAATCTCAATATTTTGCTGTCAACTAATTGAAAGATCTATGCTTGGTAAGCTCAGCAAAGACAGACTGATAAACAAATGAGCTTTATTTGTATAATCAGCTATATATATAATTAATATTTGAATATATATAGTCGTATAAGAGGTAATATTTTCTTACTTACAGTATATAAACCGATTCATATATATTCAATAGAATCAGTTTAATTTCAGACAACTTTAGCTATTATTTTAAGCACAACTGTACTGAATATGAACTAATTGCAGCTGTATAAATGATTAAAAAAAATTCAAAATTCTTAACGAATCAGGAATGGATGATAATCATCGGATTTTTAGAAGGTAGTCCGTAAATTGAATTGAAAAGGTAACATCCTATATAATTTGTTAATGCGAGATGCGATGTCCGAGCCACTTTGCATAGTTGCCACAATTTGTGGCGCAGAAATCAAAACGATTTCTCAAATGTCCGAACTGCAATTTGATGTACAATATCTTGGATTTATCCATTTGTTGTTTTATTTTATTATTTTTTTTTTGTTTGGTTATTTTTTTGCATGTTTCATATGGGACTAGAACTAATTGCGTGTTCACTGCGAAATCGTTTCAATTTATCGCCTCGGGTTGATTTTATGCCTCAGATTCACATACATATTAATGAAGCCGCCGTCGACCGATTGCCAACTGTGTGAGTGAAGAGAGGCTTCTACTGGCCAAGTGGATCTGCCTGGTTGGCTGGCTGGCTGGCTGGCTGGCTGACTCGCCTGGCTCGCCCGGCTCTGATGGACCTGACTGGGAATGGGACTGGGAGTGGGACTGGGGGCAGCAGCTCGGCGTTGATTTATACGCTTCAATCCCACATTTTTATTTCTTTGGCTGCCATTTAGCTAAAATATTTCATATCTGCGCCATCGCGCAGCGTTCGCCCAGCTTCGGGCTGGATACCGAGCTGGTGCCTGGTGCCTGGACAGCCGCTGCCCCGTAATTATGCGATTTGTTATTCGAGATTTGAGGCGATTGTGACTGTGAATCATGTGCGCCGGGCAGACGGCGGCAGAGCGCAGATGATTTAAAATGCGATTTCAATTCTGGCATTTCTGATTCGCAATTCGCAGACTGCGTTGGACCTGTACAGATCCCCGGAGCGGGTCGGGGCACAGGTGGAGCTGCCCATGCATCGCATGCTGATCCTGTACTCAGCCAGGAGGCGAGGCCGAGCCATTGCATGTGCAACACACAGACACCAGGACAGACAACAACTCGAACTCAGAATCGGACTCAGGCTAAGGCTCAGCCTCAGATTCGCATTCGCATTCGCTGACTGAGTGACGTACTGAGGCCTGACTGATATGGGAGGGAACCTGTAGCTGTGCCCCCAAGATCTGCGGCAGCAACAGCAACAGCAGCAACAGCAACAGCTCAACATGCGCAATCTCTGTCCGCATCCTCGGGCACCGAGAGAAAGAAGTGTGCATAAAATTCTACTAAAAATTAGCATTATTTGTTTATATATAATGTATAGTTAACACGTGCCTAGGCTTGATTTGCGATAATATATATTCTTATTTTGATTAATATATATATATATATATATATATATATATATATATAACTATCTAAATTTCACATATTGTCGTATCTTAATAGATTTATATGACAAAATAAAGGTGTAGACAGCTTGATGGGGTAAACAAGGAGCATAAAATAAGTAAGAGGGACAGAGAGAGAAAGAGAGAGAGAGAGAGAGAGAGAGGGATAGAGAGAGATAGAGAAAGAGCAAAGGAGAGAATATACAAGATACAATAATGCATGAATTTGTGAGAAACGCAAAGAAAGGCCACTTATTGAAATACGGGTGAAAATATAGTCTCTAATTGGTGCAACATAACACATATACATTTGTACAGGCCGATGAACATGGCTAAATCGATTGGGCTATTGATGCTGACCAAGAACATATGTTCTTTATGGGATCTGGGATGTCTTTTGCTGCCTTTTACAAATTCAAAACTATTAAAGTCTTTTTTTTAAACAATTTTTATCGCATTCGGGGCAACAGTTACTAACAAAATTTTGAGTGTGAGAAATCTAATATAAATAATTAAGAAATATTCTTCATAGATCTTAAAAGTCTCTCATTTTCTTGTTTTCTTCTTAATTAATAAAACGCAGTTATTACTAAATATTTGTATTTGTAGCAGTGTATTTGCGTTGCTGCTGTTAGTGTTGGCTGCGCTTGATTGCATTGCATGAGGCCCTCGTCATTTGGCATCGTCGTCCATCTTGGCACAACGTCAGAATGTGCGATTCGTTAGCTTTGGCGGTTGCTGGGGCATAAATCACTCCTTGGTCTGGGCCTGATCGCTTAGCGATCCTCCTTCAACTTCACCTCTAAGCAGCTCCAGCTCCCACTGCTGCTGCTGCTGCTCCAGCTCCTCCTTCTCGTCTGCTGTTGCAGCAACTTTTTTGCTTGCTGCGTTTCGTTGATTAATAATTAATTTGTGTCTTCTTGCCTGCGGTCGTCGTCGTCGTTGCCGTTGCCGTTGCCGTTGCGGCTCACCTGACGACCTGACTCCTTTATAATGAACGGTTTGTGTGTGTGCCAGGACATTCGTCGTACATCATCGAAATGCGCGCCCAGTGCCCATATGCCAAACGTCTCTGGCTGATTGCTTTGGCTCACAGGTTGCCGGGGCTCCTCCTTAGCTTAATGCATAAATTCTTTTGGCCAGGCCTCCTCCTAACCGGTATTTAATACAACAACAACAACCGCTCAGGCATAAATTAAGCGAAAGGTGTTTATACATTCGACAATAAATCAATTAACAAATTTGTAATTATTATGTTCATAAATCTCGGCTTGAAGGCCGCATCAGTAGCTTAAATTCACGATTAAAATATTTTGATAGTCACACCCCAAAAAAATAACAAAGCGGAACAGGCTTCATCAGCCAGCTAAGACATGAATTGGGCAGCGATCTCTAGTTAGTTTTAGATGTTCATCTTGTCGCTGTCTTTCCTCAGATGGGCTTACAAATTTTGCTATAAATCAAGTCGAAGAAGTTCGGCCTCCGTCTAAATATGCGAATATGCGAAGTGAATTTGGCTCGAATCACGTGGCTTTTTTGAAATCTAAACTTTTAGTTCTTCCACTCATTTTCCACACAATAAAATGAATTTAGTACGAACTATGTGCTTTTCTTCACAGCTGAACTTTTTTCACGTCTTTTTCACCCCACGATGTGAATATCTTCATTTAAGCCAAGCAAGTCTCTAATTGGTTATTCCACATTCATTCAATATTACATTCTAAAGTTTTTGCGTGGCTCATATCGTTGTTTTCTGTAAAATTCCTTCTCTTCCAATTTTTGTTTGACTTGGTTTTTTTTTTGCTATTCCATTCAATTTGCGCATCAAGTTTGAGTTGCATTTTTTTTCTTTTTTTTTTTGTGTTTGCGTTCGCGCCCTTTTAATGGCCAGAGCAGAGGCTGTTAACCAGATGTGTTGCCCGGATCTCTCACGCAGGGGCCACTTCATGGACGGCGTCAGGCGGCGTCGTCATCAACAAGAATATCGTCAAATTTGAGGGCCTGTGCCAGGGCCCATTTAAAATCACTTTGCGGCAACGCCACGCCCCCGTCCTCGCCAGCGCCGTGTTATGCATAAATAAACGCCGTGACCCCGGCGCCTACACGCTCGATTCCCGGCCCCCTTCGTGGCCTGGGCCCAGTCCGTGGCTGAGCGAGCTTTGGCGTCATTTGCTTATCCTTTTGACTCTCGACGTAGCCGTCATCGTGATTGATGGCAACTTGGCCTGGCCCTGGGCCTGTAATATGGCCAGTTTCGGCAACTCTTGGCCCCAAAAGTTATGACGTGTTAATCATGGCGCATAAACATACCAAATTGTGGGCGTCACCTGCTCCGTGCCACGATGACGGATGTGCCCCGACGAATGTGTGGAAGAGCGGCCATTAGCAAAGTGCCAACGGCCATGCCACCGAAATGGAAGATTATCTCATTATTGGGTGGGGGCATTTTAAGAAATTGAGCACCAATTTACAGAAATTAAGGAAGAAATAAAACACCCTGCGCACATAAAAATCTGCTTTTGACAAGTCGGAGTGCTCTAGTCATAAGTGACTGACTAGTGCATGTCCTGCATCCCAAGAAGAACTAAATTTATGTTATGGAAACACTTCGGAGGTTATAGTCCAATCTGTCCACATTTTTTAAATTATTAAATCTTTTAAGTTATGCTTAACAAACCTTGTCTTGCCCTGCAACAAAAAGCGTTATTTCCAACTCGATGTCGGGCTTTGCAAATATTCTCCAAATTGAAGAAAAAACCTGCCTGCATATCACATGCCCTGAAGGACTTGAAGAAAATAGGTTTCTTTGTGGGCAAATTTGGTAAATTGCAGTGTGATTGCATAGTGATGCCCAAGGATATTTCGGCGTGCATCGAACTAATGCAATTTTCTCAACAATTACCATAAAGGAGCCGAGTACAAATCACAAGGACTTCTGTTGCGAAATTAAACCAAAAACCAAATCTGCGACGTTGTCTGCGTTTTTTCAATTCAAATTCAATTTCGATGCGCTTGGCAATTCCCATTGCAAATGGCAAAGGATCTACATACACCCAAACACCCTTGCCAACATTGCAACTACACTGAGCAGCAGGATGAGGCTGTTGTTGTTCCAGCAGCAGCTGCTGCTTCCTCCCCTGTTTTAGCTCTTCGTATGGACCACGGCTCGGCGGCTATGCGTTGGGGGCAGCAAAATACTTCGTGGAGTAAATCTAATTTCGCTGGACAAGTGACTGGCATTGATTGCCGATATTTGGAGGCCAGCTACAAGTTGTATGATGGGTGAAATGCCAGGGATCGCCTCGAGTTAAGCCTTTAGCTGATGTACAACATATTCCAGGCAAACTTTGTTGGGCAAACAAAAAGAGCCGAATCTAATTTTGAAGCAAGCCACAATTTGTCTCGAAAAGAAATTGTAAGCAAATCTTTGCCAGTTGGGAAAACTTGGCTTACGAACCGAACGACAATCGGTTCGGACTTGCAGCTACTTTCTCTAATGCATAAAAAGTTTTTAAGCTTCAAGGCTATGGATTCGGTAAAAAGATCTGCATGAAATTAAAATTAAAAGCACTTGAAAATTTGACTGCAACTAATGACAATTTTCGCATTAACCATATAAAAAAAGCAGCTTTTCAAACGGCACACTTTAGTTGAATGCTGACTCTGGAATAGTAAATCGTAATGAAAGTAATTTTAATATTTCTGCTTATTTCCATTCCTGCACGTCAAGTGAGCTGTGAAGTGAGTTCGTCTATCCATTCTCTTTGGATTGTATATTATATATAAATCGTGTGCATCGTCTTACAGGCTTCCAAGGAGCTGTTGCAGTACAGGACGCGCAGTGTTGATAAATGCCTAAAGGCCGGCGCAGTGTTGATAGATCGCATGATTAAAATGCAGACCGATTTTAATGAGCTGCAGTCAAGCCAGAATACAAATGCCCGAGATAAGATGGCGAATATTACAGCACTGATAAACGACAAGTTCGATGGGATCGATAAGAGGTTCAATTTCAAGAATCCACCAAAAAGTCCATTCGAGAAAATTGGTTCTAAGTACTATTATATTGAGTTAGAAACCAAGAGTAACTGGTTCGATGCTGCGCACAAATGTCGCCAATTAAGCGGACATTTAATCAACTTAAGGAACGACAGGGAATATGATAATATAAGCAAGCATTTAATGAATTCTAATCTATCTGCTTCCGAAGCCAATCGTTTCTGGCTGGACATGAATGATCTCAGTGTTGAGGACCAATTCCTATCGTTGACTACGGGCCTGAACGTGACATTCGCCCACTGGGAGGCGAATCAACCGGATGACTTTGACAACGAAGATTGCGTGGAACTAAGGATCAAACAGAATAGATTTGTTATGAATGATGCCAGCTGCGAGACCAAGAAATATTTCATATGCCAGAAGGCATAAGCCATATGAAGATCTAGCAGTTAGCGACATTGTTCCACCATGTTGTGGAATACTTGAAGTAAATTAATTAAATATGCAAGCTGATTTTAGTTCAGTAAGGCATATTTTCAAAAAATATAATGTAAATATTTAGTTAGCTGGTTCTAGATCCTCGGAACGAAATAACTAGTAAATGGACGTGATTTGGAGATAAATAAATGGTAATATATTCTGCTTACAAAGATATTTTCATCAAACTCAATCAAACTTTGGGGCTAAACATATCTTAAGTTCAAGTAATTAGACTTTAAACCCTTTGATTTATCGAGAACGAGTTCCCTTAAATAACTAATTGGTTCGTAATAGATGAGATTTACACTCTCATATCAATTTGTGATATATCTAAGAGTCATAAGGGAAGTATTGAGAGTTTTTTTAGTCAAGTTAATTGAATCCAATTTATAGAAAGCAACTTGATTATTGTCGTCTAACATATTCAGGTCATATTTAAGGCAACTAAACTGTGCCTAGGCGGATAGGTTAGTTACTTTAATCTGTGGGCCACGCACTTCTGTGTTTAGTTTTGATTGGGATCCACGTAAGCAGCCATAGATATTTGCCATTTCAATTTCAACTGCATTTCGTTTGGCATCGTTGTGCCATCAACTACTCTGATTAGTCGTCCTGGCTGGGTACGCATCATTTCATAGCCGATTGGACAACGGCCGTTCGCTGGTGAAGCCCAACTGGATGCGGATTGGATTTGTTCAGCTGCTGCTGCAGCTGCCACTGCGTGTGGTGTGGAATGTGCGTCTGTGTTTTTAGAAAATAAAATTGCATTTTCATGAACCTTTGGCCAGGAATTTATCTGGTGCACAGATTTTCCCAACCCCTTCCTTCGTCCCGCTCAGGCACAGGCCTCTCCAAATAGGCACGCACGTAGCATAAAGCGCATAAATAGCTAGCACAGGCCGAACAGCGCCCACAACCCGTGCTTCAACTCCTCTCACCCCTCACATACTCCAGGCCTGGTGGCATCAGCAATTGTCCCAGCTATGGTCAGGACATGCGTGCATATTTACGAGTCGGCTGTGGCGGCATCAGCTGCACCAAAAACTCGATTGCCTCGTCCTGTGCCTCGTCCGCCTGCCTCCTCCTCATGCTCATCCTCATCCTCCAGTGCACTGGAGCACTACGCTGTGGTTGTCGAGAGTAACTGGGAGGGTCTGTGGGGCTGTTGGCGTCACAAAATAATTACCAAAGCTGGGCCTCGCTTCGGTCGCTCGCTCGGTGATTGAGTTGGCAAAACGTTGCACTCGATTTGATTTTTTTGGATTGGGGTTTGGGCTTTGGGGCCTTGGGTCTGGTATATATGCGCCAGCCCTAGCTGGAATTTATGCGTGTGCCATTGGGCCCAAAGTTTGTCGGTTTTTAAGCTAATTTGGCGAGCATCCTGGCTGGCCGGCTGGCTGGCTAACTGCACTGCACTGCACTGCATTGCTGGACGTGGAGCATTTGAGTGAGTGAGCAAGATTTAGTGGCACACATAAATGCCAAAACCGAAATGCTCCAACAGCAAATCACGGCCAGAATGACACGCCCACCTCGATTGCGGTGCGCTCGGTTTGCAGATTTTTGGCACAACCGTGCAGACAGACAGGCCGAGCTGCGCCGGGATGACCGGGCGGAATGGGTGAGCGGGACAGTTGTTGGGCAGCTGAGCTGAGAGCGATTGGGTCTGGTCGGTGCGAGCGCAGTGCAGTGCAGCAGGGAACCTCATGATTTGCCCATAAATGCAACAACAACAACAACAATGGCTATGCGGAGGGTAGGGCAAGAGCATGACATGTTTGTGCACCAGACAAGCAAATGCGGGCAAATTTGAATAAAGTTGAAAATGAGAGGCTATAATTGCGGTCCTCGTGCTGCTGCACCTATGGCAGCTCATCTGAAAGGACTTTAAGTAGCAGTTGACTTAACTAAAGCACACGGTTTGCCAGTCTTGATTTAAATTCTGATACAGATAACTAACTTTGTATATTTTGCTATACAACTTTGATGTATCTGCACTCTCTGATGTCTCTCAAACTCTCACTAATATTACCTATTGATTAGATATTTTCCGCCATTTACCACACGCTTTATTTTAAATCAGCAAAGCGAGTCCCATGACAAATCAAATCATTCAATTCATTTGCCCTGAGACACATAAAATGTTTTACAAAACAGCTTCCACTTATATTCCTCAATTTTTGGTGGAATCCGCTAATCTCCCATGTAGCTTTGATTTATTTACTCTTCGTCCCTCTCTCTCTCTCTTCCCTACTCTCTCTCTCCCTTCGGTCTACCTCGTTTTTTTTATTCCCAGTGCTTCGATTTTAATCTACAGTTTCCATTTGTTTCGTCAGCAAAATAAGTACCAGAGAATAATAAAATTACAAAAAGCAATTTCCACTTATGTTGAGAAATTGTAAGTGAAATATGACAAAAGTTAATGAAAATAACTGAGGTATTCCTTCTCGTCACAAACTATTTCAAACATTCGTTTAAAGAAAGGAACTAGGTTTGGAATATGGTAACTTATTGGCTAAATTTCTTGATTTATAAAATAATTTCCACTAATATTTCGCACATGTGGGTGAAATTTGGCCAAAGTAGATGATGAAAGCAGGGTATGGGGTTTGGGGCATGGCAACAACAAAATGTCTTTTTCTTACACTCTCCTTGACCGATCGTCAATGAAACTTTTGTCTGGTGTCTAAGTGCATTCGCCAACGTCTCAAATCAGCAATCCATGATGTTGTGTGTGTGATTTTTTCTTATGTCAGCAGCATCCACCGCATCATCATTGCCATTAACCAATCGAGTTACCAATTGGCCAACTCAGGCCGCAGCAAGTGTGGGCCTGCCTGCAGCTGTTGCTGCATGTGTCACTCGTTATCGTTTCACCCGTTCTTCACACTGGCATACCCCCGCACAGCCGTGCCACCTGCCCATTGTCTCGGGCTCTGCCTAAGGCTGGAGGCTTCTCGGTGTCCCTCGTCGTCGTCGTCGTCATTGTCGTCGACTCCAATAAATCAGTTTGATTTATTCACCTTCGCTGATCGTACTTTTTTTTTTTTTGTTTATTTCGATTGTTGTCATTGTCGTCGCTGTGTGTTGCCCCATCGGTTTTGTTGTTCTTGTTGTTGTGTCTTCACGCGCGTGCTTGCAACTCGCTGGGCTCTTCTATGCATCGATCCGTGCCCCATGGGCACAAGCAAGCTCCTCAGTCCCAGTGCCATTCTGATCGCGTTTCCAACAAATATCACCTGAGCTGGGACTGTCTCGCTGGAGCGTCTAATTCAATTTAGCATGCGACTACAACAACAACAACAACAACTACAGCAACAACATCATATGGCAAATATTCGTTTCGTGACATTTGATTTTATATTAAGATTAACCGTATTTGCTAAAGCAAACAATTGCCTCGAGCTGCTTGAATATCTATAGAATATTCTTTTAAGTATCTTTATGAATTTGACTGATATTTATTTCATGTACTTTGAATGAAATACAACAAATTACATTTAATTAAAAGAATATATATTCTTGGAGAATAGAACATGTTAATTTCAAAAGCAAAATTGTATTTTACTGTACTAAAATATAAGTTGATCGTAAGACCCTGAACTTGTGTTGCATTCACTTTTTGATTTATTAAATAAATAAGTAAATAAATAACCACAAATCGCACAGCTGGTTGTGAATCTGTTGCCACCTTCCTGATATGTATGAGCCATGTTTGAAACGTTATGGAAATCAAAATTCATGAAAATCTCAAAATGTGAACAATGGGCTCTGTCATAATACAAGCGACCCGTTTGTTCTACGTAGAAGTCTTTTGCACTTGTAATGTTTCCCGCGAGTCAGTTGGCTGACAAGAAATTTATATTAATTTATTACAGTTCAACTGACAGAGAATTAAGCGAGAGACAATTTATGGTTTTGTTTTCAGCGCATTAAGCTGAAAAGAAAGAAGACATCGTTTATGCAAATGTCCAACGAGCTTTCCAGGGTTTTGCTCATCAATCGCGTTCGCTGAGCGCATGCGACAAATTGCGCTGATTCCCAAGTCTCTGCGAATGAGTTGAGCTATCGAGTACAGCAACAATCGATAATTGGCATCAATTAAAACAAATATCGATAGCATTAATACTAAAATCGATAAGTTTGCAACCAGGTACTAGTATAATAAGAAAATAAGATACTAAGCGTTTTTTTAAATAACTGTATCCAAATGTTTCTAACTGGCGATAGGATTTATATTGTAGATATGTAAATGCGATCAGCTTATATAGCTGGGTAAGATAGTCCAGCTGTCTATCGGAGTAAGCACTTCCGTTATCCGCTGTTGCCTTTAAATCGATATGTATTGACATTATGCCTATCCAGTTGTTTATTTAGTTAAACAGAAATTAATTTAATAATATTTGTATATCTACAGCCGTTGACTTTAAATCGATAAATATCGATATTTCGTTATTTGAATTCTTTATTAACTTCCCCTAGATATTAAATTTATCAACATCGACGTTGTGTCATCTCTAGGGCAACAAACGGTATTAGTTACAGATATTTGCATGTTCAGGGCCAATAGCTTAATTACGACGACCCACATTCGCAGTGGAATCCATTCGCTCGTCATTCATCCGCTGGCGACAAGAGACAGCGACAGCGACAGCGCCAGAGACAGTTAGCGACAGCAACATTTTGTCGCGACAACATTTCGGCAGCGACGGCAACTGTCGCCAACTGTTTGGTGTCGCCGTGTCGCCAGCTCTGGCTGTGACATCTCTCGCCGCTTGATTTGGATACATTCAGCACTTAACTCTGCATGCTAGAGTGAGAGCCATACAGTAGTGAGATGGAGCGAGAGGGACAAGGAGAGTGAGAGGGGTGGTAGAGTCACTCACACATTGGCATCATCATTAGCAAAGAGCTGCGGCGACGCGACGTTGATGCTGTTGGCAGCCTTGTCGCAGTTTCTACTGTCAAAAATTGATTTACCGTTTTAATTTTAAGTTAAAAACCTGTCAAAAATAAATCATTCAATCGCTCGC